CCAAAAAAAAAAAAAAAAGATAAATGAATAAAAAGTATGATCAGCAAAATGAGGCAAAACCTAACTCTTTTTTCCACTTCTGTGCCCTACATATAACAGAAAATAGTCTACTGTTTAATATTTGCCTCACTTCGCTGGTAGAAATCTATTTACCCTGGCGTTCCCCTCATGCACCCTACATGTAAGTAAAATCCTTGATCCGTCACTGTATTACGCATCATAGGAAAAAAATACCAACATGTGACCAAGAGGCCCTTTTGCTCACATAGTCCCTAAGATACATGTACGGCTCGCAAGAAAATGTGTAAAAAGTGGTAAAGATGTGCTAATATCTATTATTTCGGAGTTCCCCAGAGTGATTTCCTCGGAAAGCGTCCCACAGAGCGAGTCCCTATGTAAGTCCGTTTACGTTGTTTACGTGGGTTTCAAAAAATGTTTTTTGCCTTGGGCCTCTCAGACCGTCTTGTCAGATGGTCATGAAAGAACGTTGCAGACCGTAGTCTTTTTCATGTTTTCATGTTTTCATGAGCAATTCTCTCTTTTTTTTCTCTTTTTCTCTAAAATCAAACCCCAACTCTAAGACAACATATTCATATCTCGTCATTTGAAAAAAGGGTAATTCAACTTACTGAACATTAAACATTTTGGTTTCTACTTCATCCAAAAAATTGATATAAAGATTATTAGTACAATATTTAGTAGAAATAGCTTAACCGGCATTTATCAGTTGAGCGTGCGGTGTACGATGGCTTGGACGCTTGATGCAGCAAGTAGTCAGCAGTCTCATTCTGCTCTTTTGCAGTACGGTAATGTCACGGAATGCTCGAGTCATGCCACTCACGGTTTATTAAGATCGGTCTCCGTTGAACAAGCCATGTATGCTATCTATTTTTTTTATATCAAAACAAAGCTGCGTTTCTCATTACAATTTGGACATAGATACGGACATAAGATGTAAACTGCAAAGGAGGTCTAGAAAGTAATACTATTTGATATTAACTGGGGTTCTGCATCCATGAACTACATGATGTTCTACGGCCTGTGGTCTTTAAGTATACGATTAATAAAATGAAAGCACCGAGTGGCTCGTAACTTTCGATTAAGAGGTGTCCTCAAATTTCCCCCTTTTCGTCGAGCCGGCCAGCAGCACTATCAATCTTATCCCTTTATTTGTAATTGAAAATTGTGGTTTTGCTCTGAATGGCCTGACCTCTAAAATGTGTCAACCACATATAGAAAAATCGAAAGTGCAGCGGACCAAATTGTTATCACGGTTAAACAGCTGATACATTTTCATAGTTCATTACAGATAAGATTTATTGTAAAATGATTTAAGAAAAATATGCTTTCCGATATATTTCCAATGGGGCACGAAATCCTTACTGAATTTTCGCAGATGCAAGCAAACACAAAAATGGACCTCCGTATTTCACAGAAAACAGTTTGAAGGCAATGGATTCGAAACAAAGACAAACGACATTGAAATTTATGGATATTTGAGAGAAATACTTGCATCTTTCCACTATAATGCATCAGAACGAAGTGTTTCATTTGAGTCTACTACTTGGCCATATCACAAATATACAAAGGAACAATTTGATGTTACGTCCTTTCAACGGAATGCATTATTTTAGTGTATCGAGTGACTTTTCAATGAATTGAATTTCTTTGAACTCAATGCCGAAATTTTTATACATTTTCAGTAAAGAGAAATTAAAAAGAAGATCCTTGATGAGTGAGAGGTTATCAGATAAGGACATAAATCATATACATTTTAGATTGCTTAATGAAGTGCTACACATGTATCATCAGACTCTCCATTCATTTCAAGATAAGGACATGCTTGAAAATATTCAAGAAACCATCCACTAAAAGCTAAAGCCAAATATATATACTCGATAACCAAGGTTAGCTTCACAACACACACGCACGCACGAACGCACGCACGCACGCACGCACACAATATGTTAAAGGAGTATTAAACGAATCAAAACATTTCAGCCTAATAAAAACGTTTTCAAGGACACAAGGGTTACCGAACCATGTATCCGTTCGTTCAAGCATCCATTGCGACTGAAATCAAAACGAAATAGGACATTTCATCTATCCCGGTGTTAAAAGGAATGCAAGTCCTAGGAATGGAAGTCCAGGCTCCCGTGTGATTAGTATTAGGGTTAGTTGGGAGTATTGGAGTTAGAATATGGGACGAATGTCACCTGTACAAAGTAATGGGAAGCGGACTACGGTTCCCAGCGGACTTGCATTCCTGTTACACCAATGGCCTCTTCATTAGTCAGATTAGTCTAGGTCCATGCAGTCCTTGCCTACATGTACATAGAACTGGTGAATTCTGCAGCATCTGTGAAAGAATCGATAGACTACTCATGGAACAGGGTAGTGCTGTTTCATTTAGTTCAGGGCGGAAATTCCAATGAGCAGTTAAGTATTATATGATTGATAACGCGACGTGATTCCATATTCAGCCCGCGTGATTATAAAGACAGATTGACGGCCATTTCTGATCGCATTACACACCTGTATACTTTTTAATGCCAACATGAAAGAAACATCGGCGATGGGAAGCGCTCCCCACCTGGTGGAAGGGGGTCATTTACATGTTGTTTTGTGCGAAAAACCGGTATCACGTTGTAACTTAACGCGCACACCGGACATGCACCCCGACAAATGAACTAGTCTTCCTGCTACTTACTGAAATTATGCATGTGCATGTGTCATGCGTTCATATTTGCACCGACTTTGCGTCTACACTTGATATCTGAATTAAATACAGCTCTATGATAAACGACCTTACATATGCTGGCGATTCAATTTAGTTGGTAATACTCGTGTTATGATTCCTCTCGTCACCCTGCATTTCTGGGGTCAGAGGGCTGGTTACAACATTTTTGAGGGACAAGCTTGATGGCATTTAAAAAAAAAAACATTATAATTAAGAAGATAACGTCAAGTTAATCTTGATTTCTGTCTTATATATAACTAAAGAAATGTCAGATGCCCGTCTTTATCGTTCACTATCGCAGTGCCTCATGTGTTGAGTCACTTTCTGTAACATTAACGCAGATTTTGGTTCCACCCAATTCCTTGTTAGATGAGCCATTTCCGATAGGAAAACCGATTTCTTCTGAATATTTTATTGCAGGATCGTCTATCTCCGTGCAGTTTT